ATCAGGCACAGCAATGCACACCTGTAATCCTAACAATGAAGAGGTGGAGATGGGTGGATCCCCAGATCTGTATAGTCAGTTGCCCTAGCCTGTTTGGTGAGGCCCAAGCTGGAGAGAGACACTGCCCCCCCAAATATTATAAGTATGGTGGTTTGAAAGAAAATGCCTCCCAAAGGGAGTTGCACTATTAGGAGGTGTGGCCTTGTTGGAGCAGGTGTGCCCTTGGTGTAGGAAGTGTGTCACTGTGGAGACAGGCTTTGAGGGCTCATATATGCTCAAGACACACTCAACGAGACAGACAACTTCCTGTTGTCTTTGTGATGAGGACGTAGGAGCCCCTTCTCCAACACCAAATCTACTTGCCTGGCTCCATGTTCCCACCATATTGATAATGGACTAAACCTCTGAACTATAAGCTGCCACCTTAATTAAATATTTTCCTTATAAGAGTTGCCATGGTCATGGCATCTCTTCACAGTAATAGAAATCCTAACCAAGCCAGCAAGACTTCTGAGAATCCACCCCAGAGGTTGTCTTTGGTCCCCACATGGACCCTGCCCTGTTGAGGACTGGGGATCATTTCTGCTCTGCCTCTCTGGTCTTGGCCCATAGAACAGGAGCTTCCAAGGCCATGGAAGAATTCTTGGGGTGGAAATTCTAGAAAAGCACTGAGTATTGATCTCTATTTTCTTGCTTGCCTATCCTTGGCCAGCACGGGCCCTTTATGCATTCAGGTAGTGTCTTAGTTAGGGTTCCTATTACTGTGATCAAACACTATGATCAAAGAGCAATTTGTGGAGGAAAGGGTTTATTTGGTTTATACTTCAGCATTGCTGTCCAACGCTGAAGGAAGTCAGGACAGGAACTCAAGCAGGGCAGGAACCTGGAGGCAGGAGCTGCAGCAGAGGCAATGGAGGGGTGCTGCTTACTGGCTTGCTCAGCCTGTTTCCTTATAGAAAAGCCACCAGACCAAGGACGACACCACCCAAAATGGGCTGGGCCCGCCCTCCTCAATCACTAAGAAAATGCCTGATAGCTGCATCTCCTCCCCGATGACTCTAGCTGTGTCAAGTTGATAAAACAAGCCAGTACAGACGGCAGGCCCTATCCCTCAACGTGCTAACCCTCAGGGACACACCTGTCTATGACAACCCAAGAAAGGGTAATGGGGAACCTGACTTGGTATTGGGCACAAGCAGTTTGCTCTATTCTACCTTCCCTTACGGTAAGTCTATTATTTCCATTTGAGTTCTGAGCAGAGCTCTGCCTCAGTGAAAGGCTGCTAACCAGTGAGCTCCCTTGAACCCCAACAATCAAAATGGCCAACTTGACCACACTTTTTTTTTTTAATATTTTATTTATTGTGTATACAGCCTTCTGCCTGCATGCCAGCAGAGGGCACCAGATCTCATTCAAGGTGTTTGTGAGCCACCATGTGGTTGCCAGGAATTGAACTCAGGACCTCTGGAAGAACAGTCAGTGCTCTTAACTGCTGAGCCATCTCTCCAGCCCCCTGACCAGACCTTCTTATATGTTACATTTTTACAAAAAAGCCAAGCTGCAAAGCAGTCCCACAAAGCACGCTCTGTGAGTGTGCCCCTTTAGTTTTCGAACTGTTGAGTCTGGGCTGGGAGCAATGGTGGCTAATTGAGCAGGGTGTGCAGTTGTCAGTCATCCAGCTGGGCAGGGTATGACAGGCGTCAGTCACCCAGCTTCTACTCCCAAGCTGATGACCTGAATCGATTAATTCAGTAGACGGCTTCCTTTGCCATACTTAGAGTGACGGAAAGCTAAAGACATGAACACAAGCTGAATCGGTCAAGAGCTCCCAGAAATTGACAGACACTCGTCCGCTACGCGATAAGGGCCAGTTTGTTTGGGTACGGTTAAGAATTGTATAGGAGTCATAATAATGCTTCATTTCTGATTTACGCTGCTGTCTTGCTACTGTGGACAGAGTTGCTGGGTGGAAAGGGCTCAAATGATGGAGTTCTTTGTTGACTACAAAGAGAGATTTTACCTTCCCTTGTACCGAGGTGTGTCTAACTGTGAAAGGAACATCTAGCTGAGTGATTCTATAATCACTGCTGCCATGGGCCTTTAGATAACTCAGTAGCTGCAAACATAGTGGAGTATTTATCAAATGAGTACTCAAAACCCACATGATGAGGATTCTAAAATAATATAATGTATTTTGATGACTTGGGTACACACATGTTGAGTTAAAGATATTACCTTGATTCTAGGATCCATAACTTCATGTGGCAGCTTGTCTTTCCACTTCAGAAGCTGCTGTGAACATTATGTTTCCCGTCATGGGCCTCAAGTTGGAATTTCACAATGAAGTTCAATTGCTCAAATTTTAAAATTTAAAGGCATGCCACACTAAAGAAAATTGGATGTTTTTAGCCACGAAAATTGATGAAAGGGACATTTCTAAGAAGGGAACCTATGGATAGAAATGGTGTGGCCACAGATTTAAATATGTGAGTAAAAGACTTTTTAATGTTCTTGGCCTGCATGATTAATGCTTGAGGGCCAAACTCAGGGGCATTCCACCCAGAAACGATGACGTTATCTGCTGTTCTCCTGAGCGTAAGCAGCAAGCGCATTAAAAAATGAACAAAGTAATCAGACTGTCTCTACGACTGTGTATGAGTCTCACACTAATGTTTTGCCAGACAGCAGTGCTTAGGAAAAACCAAGACTGCAGTAATTCCACAAGAAAAAATGGGATTCCACAAGAAAAAAAATGGACTTCAAAACCAAAGCCGCTTAACGACCTCCCAGGAAACGGGGCCACGAAAGAAAAGGTGAAGGACCGTGGAGACTCTGAGCTGTGTGCTTGTCTCCGTCCACTCATTTCTGCGGGATGGAGTAGCGTCAATTCCCCACTCCCTGTGATCAATCAATGAGACAAACTTAAACAGGACTTTGGGGCCTCGGACGAGTGACTGGACTGTGGCAAACAAGTAGGAGTGGCCAGGCTTTCCTTCCTTGAATTCTGCTGGCAAGAGCAAGCTCTGCCAACAGCAGCTGGTCTTCAAGCTGGAATGTTCTCTGTTGGGAGTGGGGTTGTCTCGGGTGGTCACTACCTACTGAGTGCCAGGCGCACTGCCTGGTGTGACAACCAGCAGTGTCTCCACAGACTGCCCAGTGTCTCCTGATCCTCCCCTGCCACGGTGTTGGTAGGCAGACCCCCACTACAGCACACACTGTGAGGGCACACTCGGCCCATCTCCAGTCAGACCCAGGACCTTTCTGCAACATAAATGCAAGGATTAGCTTGCAATTATTTGTTCAATTTAGACTTCGCAGACAATTAAACTGGTTAATTCAGATCAAAATTTCTTCTTTGGGGTTTGGCTTATCAGGACTGGCATCTAAATTAACTCGATCAGTGGGCTATCTGCTAGGTGACTTTTAATTCTAACTTGAGGTTTCAAGTTCAGAAGTGTTTCGAGTGCAAAGGTCAGGTATGAAAGCCAGAAGGGGCAGCATCTCCTGCCTGGTGTTGCTTGCTGAGAGTGTGCAAGCATGCACTCATGCTCTCTGTTTCTCTCTCTCTGTCTCTCTCTCTCTCACCCCCCCCACATACACATATATACACATCACACACACACTTTTGCATGCACACACATGTTTACACATATACACACAGCATTTACACACATGCACACACATATACACACACATATATTATACATGTATCACTCTCACACAAACACACACACCACTCTCACACACATGCGTACATGCTAAACATATACACATACACATACAACACTCACACACATGCACACACACATATACACATGTCACTCAAACACATGCACACACACACCACTCTCACATACACAACTCTCACACACATGCATGCACACAAAACACACACATAACACCCACACATGTGTACACACACTTAAGACACACATACCCCACACACGTCAGGGCTTCTTCCCACTGGCTCTGATGTGGACATGTCCCCTTTCGCTTCCCTCAGTGTGGGTCTCGAGGGAGGGGGCCCTACCACTTGATGATGAAAAGCACTGTGTTTTAGGGTCAGATAAAGCTGTGCTTAAGCCCAGACTCCGCGCTTATCATCCTTTCCTGGAAACAAGACTTTTTGTGAGAGCAATGGGTGGGGACGAAGGCTCTGTTCCTCAATGCAGGAGCCTTTGCAAGTCATTTAAGACCCAAACCGGGGCTGTGCTGTAGCTCAGTGTAGAGTGCTTGCATGCAGGGGTCCCTGAATTCAATGTCTAGCATCACACAAATCAGGCAAAGTGCTGCAGGAAGGGGAGGAATTGGGACCCGTAGTCCAAGACCATCCTCAACTGCAAAATGAGTTCAGGTCAGCCTAGGCTGTATGAGAGCCTGTCTCGGAACAAACTGATGCAAACCATAAAAATACGGACCCTTAACAGCATCCACACAAGACCCTGTCTCAAGCAAACAGAGGGATGCACATCACAAAAATACCCGATCCTTCATAACATCCTTGAGCCCGTTACTAAACTTGAACCATCAGACTTTGTTGTGAACCATTTACTACTGAGTATTCTGCTCAATGCCAAATGCATCTTAATTTTCACAGGGAGTCAGAGAACAAGTTGCCTCGATGGCGTCTATTGCCCTTTCTTTTTAAGATTCTTGCTTATATCTTTGGTAGCGCCTGACCTCATTTTGTAGCTTCCTTCGAAGCTACAGATCATTTGAGATGCCAATGAGAATTGATGAGCAGCGGTGCTGGGAGCCCTCTCTGAAGACCCCCCTCAGCCAGTATGCTCTCTTGGCCTTTACTCTTCATCCCCCTGCCTTAAAAATGCATGCGAAAGGGTGGGACTCTGGCTGTCCCTCATACTTGAGTCTAAGTGACTTTAGGAATGGAAACTGTGCCTGAAAGGAAGTAGACAGGACATCCGTGTGCAGTGGCGGCGCCCAGGACAATTTCAGTGCACAGTGGCAACGCCCATGACAACGCCAGTGCGTCTGTGCACCGTGGCAACAACGGTAACACCAGTGCTTGCTCCGTGGAGGCAGCAGGATCAGCGCTCAAGACATAGTGCATCCAAGGTCCACCTGAGCTAGTGGGACCTTATCTCAGGTAATCAAGGGCAGGAGGAGGGAGAGAGGGAGGGATGGAGGGAGGGAGGGAGGGGAAAAGGAAGAGAAAGAGGGAAAGAAGGAAGAAAGAAAGGAAAGCAGCAACAAGGAAGGAGGCGGAGTCTCTCAAATGCCTGCCTACCCTTTTCTGTGCTTTCCCATACTTTTTCTTGGTTAATCCAATATTGCTTCGGCTCCCAAACAGCATTTGTAGCAGATCTTTCTTGCTGCTGCTGGTTCTTGTCCTGTCAGGTCCCGCCACCCTTCCAGCTCCATAGAAGCACACAGATGCTACATTAGTTATAAAACTGTTGGCTGACGGCCAGGCTTCCTATTGGCTAGCTCTGTCTTAATTATTAACCCATTTCTATTAGTCTAAGTATTTCCACGTGGTCTTGTCTGACCAGAGAAGGCCCGGACCTGTTACTCCTTTGGCGTCTACCTGGAGTCTCTGTGGTGCACTCCCTCTGACTTCCTTCCCCAGAATTCTCCTGTCTCCTCGTCCCTACTATCTCCCTGCCTCATTGGCCAAACAGTGTTTTATTCATCATCCAGTAAGAGGAACATATACACAGAAGGACATTCCTCATTACTTCCTAAAAGAAATTATGATGGGAATGGAGATTTTATTTCCTAGGAAACAGTTCTTTTTAAATTAAAATTGCCTTTTAGCTTCCTTTAAGTAAGATTTATTTTTTTTTATTTTATGAGGATGAGTGTTTGTCTGGCATGTATGTTTGTGCACCGTGTACAGGCCTGGCGCCTGCAGAGGTCAGAAGAGGGTGCTGGGTCCCCTGAAAGTGGAGTTACAGACAGTTGTGAGCTGCCGTGTGGGTGCCGGTAGCTGAACCTGTGTTCCCCTACAAGAGCAGCCAGTGCTCCTAACTGCTGAGCCATGTCTCTGCCCCCTGCCCATTTATCTAATTTGAAGGATCAAAGAACTATTCAAATTGTATTTAATAATTCATCTTTATATTTGCCATAATTATCCTCAAGTATTTTTCTTGGAGCCGACTGAGCAGTCGCTGTATGCACAGGAGTGTCTAGGTAGGGACTGAAGACAAGGTCATGGGACGTATTCAGCCTCTAATATGTCTACTGAGCACATACAGTGCTAGGTGTGTGTGTGTGTGTGTGTGTGTGTGAGAGAGAGAGAGAGAGAGAGAGAGAGAGAGAGAGAGAGAGAGAGAGAGAGAGAGAGAGAGAGAGAGATATGGATGGGGATGGACAGAATGGGGATGGACAGACAGACAGGCAGGCAGACAGAGTATGCAGGTTCTCCCATACCCTATATTTGTAGAACAAATGATATTAGAAGAAAATGAATAAGATAAATCCATCAACACAAAAATATAAAAGGCAAGTAAATCTGGGGCAACTAGGGAAAGCTTGCTAAGATGCTGAATTCTTATCCCGTGTGGGTTTTCATTTTCTCTTTATGGTTTTCATACTTCCTCTACAGTTCTTCATCTGGAGAAACTGCTCTTTTTTATTTTCTGCCACTGAAGAAAGCAACTGCTGCAGGCGAGGAGTTGGGAGCAGCAGCGGGAACTCTTACCTTCTGGCCGTTCTTTCTCTTGACTACTCGGGAGCTTCCCCTTGCTCACGTGGTCCCAGCCTCGCGTCTGAACCTTCGGCACAATGTCTATTGGCAGGTCAATCGTCCTTAGTCAAGAGGTCCCCTCTCAGTCACTGGCTCACTAGGCCAGGCTTTAGGACCGCTCTGTGTGAGTCTCAGCTCTCATGTGACTCACAAGTACTCGGTGAGCAAGGGCCACTGACTTGGGTTGTTATCAGTTACTCCAACTTTGCATAAATAAGGCTTCCAGGGTTAGCCAAACAGCCGAAGCAGTGGCTGTCACCCTTCCTAACTCCGCAACCCCTTAATGCCGCTCCTCGTGCTGTGGTGACCCCAACCATACAATTGCTTCCATCTCTACTTCACGGCTGTAATTTTGCTCCTGGCAGCTTTCGGTGCTCCCGAACACCTCACACGGGCGGCTGCTGTCAGTCTTGACATGGCTTTCCTTACTCAGCCCATATCGCTTTGTTTCAACTGTCTTGCATCCCTTGAGAACCCGTGCGGGCCCTTATTTCCAACTCTTTGGACCAGAGGTTAAGAACCTAGAGACATATGCCCCAGATGCCAACGGCTGGAAACACTTGTGTTGCTGCATCAGTCTGGTAGGGCAGTGAGCCGGCCGCCGAGGCCTCCCTGTGAGGAACGCAATGCGGAGGAAAAAAGGATATGTATTTGGATTATCTGCCGGACAATGTGAAACCACCCTGAACACGTTCCTGTTTTGAAGTCCTACATCAGATCCAAAGGTCCGCAAAGGGTCACCGGGGGCACACTCGAAGTGACCCCCTCGGGGCGTGTCCAGAGATCACTAGAAAATGAAAAGTGACCTTGGCTGTAGCTATTGCTTTACTTGAGCAGTTTAAGGAACACATCTGGGGTCCATCACAGCTTCAGCCAAATCCTGCCTACGGGTTTTCATAACTGACTCCGAATGAATCGTGTGTCCGTATGTCAGGGCGGGGCCCTCATCTCTGTCTTTGTCGCTGACGAGGGAGACGGCTGTAGGGGGCATCCTCTCTCTTATGTCTTGCCAGGACGTGCAAAGATTCATCGCTGGTCTAGAACAGCCAGTTGTTTACACTGATAATTCCTTGAAGGCTCTTGAAGTGCTACATTTCATTGTGTCCCAGGACTTGCTTCCTCCGTTCTTAATTAGGGGGATTACTGCTTGGAGAAAAACGAGTGTTTTTATTTGCAAGAGGAATTATAATAAATCTTACAAATTTAAACCAGGAATCAAAGCCCCACAGAGTCTGGAGGAAATCAAAGGACTGTAAAATCTCACTCATTCCTTTTCCCCTGGGCAGCCTGACTCTTCTAATGTCAGCCAGCCTCCGTCTGTCTGTCTGCACTCTCGCCGTGATGGGCCGAGCTCTGCAGACATGCGAGATGAAACATCACACTGTACATTGCTAATGAGGCATGCAGCATGCCAGCGCTTACAAATATTTAATGTGCTGCAGGGGAGAAGGTCTTTATTAGACACCTTGGAGTTCATCAGCTTCCAGGATTAAACATCCTAGAAACTTGTATCCAATCGAAGAATTAATTTTTCAGAACTCCCAATTAAAGGGTGACAAGGAACTTGCGGAATTCAATATGATGGGAACTGGAGGGCTTCCTGGAAATGAGGACTGATTTCTGGTTGCAAAGGTAAGCCTGTGCATTTTCTTCTACTCATTCCTAGAAATAAATGGGAGTCGCTTTGGAGAACAGCAGTCATCATCACCTCTACCCAGAGAAGTAATTGCCACACTAAGTATTCTCACGGCACAGAGCACGGCCATCGAGGTTGTGCGAATGTTTTGCTTCAACCTCAGGAAAAAAAAAGGTGGAGCTGTTCTCTTACTGGAAGCACCGAGTTAAGTAGTTCCTTAAAAACCACAGGAGGGCTTTTTGTGTAAGTGCGAGAAAAAGGAGGGTGGGGGGGCACTGCTAACTCCTAGGGGACACCGAGAATGGCCCAAGCCTGTTTCCTTCTGTAGACTCTAGAACACAGCTTGCCCTGTGGCACACCCTTCCTACCAGTGGGGAGTGGAGAGAAGGCCATCGTCTGAAAAAAAAAAAATGAGCCACTGCCCACAAATGCCCAGCAGTAGGTTTTATGTCTGTAATTGCAGAGCCAGTTTCCTATCGTGTCTGTGACCAGATAGTCAGTTTTTGAGAAAAGAGCATGGTCTAAGAATGTGTACCAAATGACTGACGCCATTGGAGGAAACAAACCGTGTGCCTACCGTGGTCTCCATCAGCAGAGCTGAGCACGTGACAAACAACCTTGCTCCGCCTACGTGGTCACTCTGTGTTCAGTGTAAGTTTGGCTCTGTAGTCGGATTACTTGTTGGTCACTGACACTCCTTTTTTAAAAAGATTTTATTTGTGTTTTAATTGTGTGTGCGTGTGTGTGTGCGTGTGTGTGTGCGTGTGTGTGTGTGTGTGTGTGTGCATGAGTGCAGTTGCCTGTGGGGGCCAGAAGAGGGTTTTAGATCCACCAGAGCTGGAATTTCAGGCAGTTGTAGCTGCCTAAGGTAGATGCTGGGATCTGAACCCGAGTCCTCTACAAGAGCTGTGTGCTTCCTAACCACGGAGCCAACTCTCCAGACCCAGGATCCTCGACATGCTCTACTTGTTCACAAAGACCTGCTGAGTGGGTCTCTTTTAGAAGCCGCAGACAGCTTCTAGTTTTTAAGATGACATCAAGCTATGGAATTGTTTTTTGGCCCCCAACGAAATGAGGGTGCCCCCTGAGTCTTGCTGCCCCATGCTGTCTCCACCTGGGGTGATGCTGGCCATGTTATTAAGTGGCCACTGACTGGCAGTTAGTCCAGGGGCTATCCTGTGAGAGAGAATGACCCCACTTTAATCCCTCATTGGATACCGGGCCAAGGAATGAACACCCCATCCCTTCCAGTTCCAGCGACTTACGTAATGAAGCACTTTCTGAGACTCATTAAAGAGAGAGAGAACCTTGTGCATGCTGGAGCATATGCAGAGAAAAAAAAGATGTGTTTTTATGTGCAACAGCTTGCCCCAAAGGGGCTCCTGATTAGTGAGCTGTCATTTGTTATGTATAGTTGTTGGCTTTACGGACGCTGTAACGATACGCGACACACAATTACTGAAAATAAGGCTAAGTATTTTATATAGAAAATTACTCACAAGATACCAAACCCCGAGAAGCCCAGCAGATCTCCGCTAGCGACTGGACCGGAAGCCGAACTCCAGGAAAAGAGAGCGAGACTTCCTGTGCGCTGTCTTTTATGCCTTCCCCAGTAACGCCCCTAGCCATGCCCAAAAGTGGGCTTGGCTAGTGACGTAGTTCTGCCTACATACGTATACGTCTTTATGTCCAGCCGTATACGTCTTTAGTCCTGCCTAAAGTGGGTGTGGTTAGCGGTGTGGTAAACCGCCCTTTTATTACCTCATCTGTATGCGCCTCTAGTAAGTCACATGTTTCATGGCGGCATAGACTTCCTCCTACAATTCCCCTTTTAGTCTAAAAAAGGACAACTAACTTGTGTCCATGAACAAAATGTATCAAACATCTATTCTATCTAAACCTAAACTTATCTTAAAGAAACACCCAAATATGAACACCTCCTTCCAATCCCAACTCTAAAATAATTGAAAACTAACACTAACAGGTGTAAACTTATAATATCAATAGTAGGGAGAGGGGGCGTGGAATTCTCAAAACTACTTCCTGCTGAGATGAGCCGGGGGGGGCGGGCGCCGGCGGCTTTGGTGCCTCCTCAAACCTGTAGAAATAGCTTCACCTACCCAAGCTCCTATATCCTGACTTTTACATTCCAGGTTCGCTGTATGCAGAACCCATTCCTCCAATGGCGCTGATCTTATTTTTAATGGCCAAATTACCTGCCTGCATTGAGGATTCGCGTTCTCATACGCCAAAGATTCTATAAGGAGACGCCTGGATTCTGGGTTCGCTACCTGTACCTCTACTGCTCTGGATAATCTCTCTAAAAATTCAGTGAACCTTTCCCTTGGGCCCTGTAATACCTTGGTGTAGGGTTGCATTATCTCTCCTGTTTCACAAACCTTATCCAAGGCATTTAAAGCAGCTGTACGGCACAAAGACAACATGTGCTCATCATATGCAGATTGAACCTGCGTGTCAGTGTAAGGACCCTCCCCAAGAATCTTGTCTTGGGGTACTTCATGACCGTTCTGCAATTCCTGAATCTCAATTGCTTTTGCTTCTTGCCTCCACAAAGCTCTCCATTGAATTTGGCAAGAATTTTCGAGCACTGCAGAGGCTAATTGGGCCCAGTCTTTTGGGGTTACTTTATTTACAGTAGCCCATGAGGTTAGGAGCTCTCTGACAAAGGGAGAATGAAGACCATACATGACAATGGCCTCCTTAATATTTTTTAGATCCTTCATCTGTATAGGCTCCCAGTGATAAGCAATGGGACCATTTGATTGTTTTTTCGTTGCTGGTTTTTCTGATACAGATACTGGAAAAACCATAGGGGAACGCATAGCAACCTTAGGGAAATCATTCCGGCATTTGAGAAGCTTTGGGAAACTCCTGTCCTGACCTGTTGCCTGTATTTCTGATTCTGAAGTATCAGATTGAGCGTCTTCTAAATCCTGCAGTCTATTCATCATTGTTTCTCTGAGCTCTTGAAGTTCTTGGGACAAATGATTTTCTAAGGATGTCATGGAATCTTTCATTTTTTTACATTCATCATTTACATGTGATTCCAAATTTCTAATATTCTCATCCTTAGCAAGTACCTCAATAGCATGTAAACTGCCTTCAACAAATGATATTCTATCAGTTAGTTTACCATTGCTCTCAGACATGGAACAATTCTTTTCTGCTAGCATTTCAATTTTATGTTCCAGTCTTTGTAATTTGCTAGTGAAATCATCAAACATGGAACCGTGTTTGTCGTTAAATGTTTCCACATTATGTTCCAATTTTTCAATTCTATCTATGGAACACATTTTTCCTGAAAATAATTCAATTTTGTGTTCCGTCTCTTTAAACCTGTTCGTCAGACCTACATTATCATTTTTAATATCCTGAATATTTTCTACCAACCCTTTCTTACTCTCCTGCAATGAATTTTGCATTTCCTGAATCCTTTGTATTAAGATTTCAAAACTATCCTGCGATGACTGCATGACCTGTATAAGTTTATTCCTATTTTTGAGCCATTTCATTAACAAAATTATATTGATTATGAAGCTAATAGTCACCATCGTGGGTAGGAAGTACCTTTCAGGTAGGTCCTCAACCCTTTCTAAAATCCCATCCATACAAAAACCAAGAAAATTCTTAACATCCTGCATCATAGTGTTAGCTGTTGACATTGTATAAAGCAGTTACGTTTGTTACCAATGGAGTAATTCAGACCAAAATCAACAGGCTGCCAGCGAAAGAGCACGTGGCCGGAGTCAGCTGGCCGCCAGTAAAACAGCACGTGGACGCGAGAGAAACCTTGGAATTCCGCCTAACCTTACCGGCAGGTAGAAGGTGCTGGTTCCTGGCGGCAGGAATCGTGCCTTGCCGAGCGAAGTAGTGAGGAACTTAGCGAAAGGAGAGTCCACGTGTGCCTGGTCGGGCCGAGAGAAGCCCTGGGTCCCGATTCCAATCCCGCTCCGACACCAAACTGTTGGCTTTACGGACGCTGTAACGATACGCGACACACAATTACTGAAAATAAGGCTAAGTATTTTATATAGAAAATTACTCACAAGATACCAAACCCCGAGAAGCCCAGCAGATCTCCGCTAGCGACTGGACCGGAAGCCGAACTCCAGGAAAAGAGAGCGAGACTTCCTGTGCGCTGTCTTTTATGCCTTCCCCAGTAACGCCCCTAGCCATGCCCAAAAGTGGGCTTGGCTAGTGACGTAGTTCTGCCTACATACGTATACGTCTTTATGTCCAGCCGTATACGTCTTTAGTCCTGCCTAAAGTGGGTGTGGTTAGCGGTGTGGTAAACCGCCCTTTTATTACCTCATCTGTATGCGCCTCTAGTAAGTCACATGTTTCATGGCGGCATAGACTTCCTCCTACATATAGTTGTGTGTGTGTGTGTGTGTGTGTGTGTGTGTGCATGGACACATTGGATGTGTGGATGTGTTTGGTGTATGTCTGCATGTCTCTGCAGTGTGTGCAGAGGACAGAGGAGAGCGCCCAGTGTGTGCAGAGACAGAGGAGAGCGCCCAGTGTGTGCAGAGGACAGAGGAGAGCGCCCAGTGCACTCTCTTGTTATTCTCTATCCTATTCCTTTGAGGCAGACTCTCTCCCTACACCCAGAGTTCAGGTTTTATCATCTATGCTAGAAGCCAGCAGGTTCCGTGAGATCACACCTGCTTTTCTACACGGAAGCTGGGATCCACCCAGTGTAGACGGAAGTTTCTGTCCCACCTGGTCCTACAGCTGTTTAGTCCCATGACCACACAGAGGCTTATATTAATTATAAACTGTTTGGCTGATGGCTCAGGCTTCTTATCGGCTAGCTCTCTCTTAATTATTAACCCTTGTCTATTAATGTGGGTATCTCCACATGGTCTTGGCTTACCAGTGATGCCCAAGCCTCTCGCTCTCTCGGCAGCTACATGTGTCTCCTTGAGACTCATTCTCTGCATTCCTCTTCCTAGAATTCTCCTAGTCTGGTAGGCCCAGCTATACTTCCTGCCTGGCTACATCCTGCCTGTCCATTGGCTGAAAAAGCTTTGTTCATCAACCAATAAGAGAGACACATATTCACAGCACAATGAAGGACATCCCCCATCATCCCAGCTTGTTCCATGGGAGCTGGGATTTGAACTATTGTCCACAAACTTGCACAGCACATGCTCTAAACCACCAAGCCGTAACCGTTGTTTTGCTGCAGCTGCTGCAGGCGATGAAACAGGAACCACAAAACTCTACAAACCCACATGGAGTTTATTGGGAAATGGAGCCAAGGGAGGGGTAGGTGTTGGCCAACTGGGAACAGAGACGGAAGGGGGAAGGGAAGAGAAAAGAGGTAGAGACAGAGAGGGGGGGGAGGACGGGAAAAGTCCTGTCTGCCCCAGGGGAACAGTGGGAAAGGGAAGAGAGAGGGAGAGAGAGGAGAGCAGAGATGAGCAAAGAGATGAGCTGGGCCGGGCGTTGGTGGCGCATGCTTTAATCCCAGCACTCGAGAGGCAGAGGCAGGCGGATCTCTGTGAGTTCGAGGCCGGGCTGGACCGATAGCCTCCGAAACAATACAGAGAAACCCTGTCTCGTAAAAACCAAAAAAAAAAAAAAAAAAAAAAAAAAAAAAAGAGATGAGCTGGCAGAAAGACCGTTAAGTGGGCGGGGCCTTTTTCTTAAAGGGGTCCTTTGCACCTCCATGGAACCCTGGGCTGACCAGGGTACTGCCCGAGTGCATTCTGCCAGGTGACAGGGGAAGGACAGCATAATGCCTGTATCCTTATAATAACTCTAGTGCCTCTATTTGTTTTAAACAGAGTCTCACATAGCCTAGAGTGGCCTCAACATGCTGTGTAGCTGAGGATGACCTTGAACTCCCAATCCTAGGGTCTCTACCTCCCCCAGGGCTGGGGTGGCAGATGTACGCTGTCACACCCTGCTAAGCTGCTGTTAAAATAATGATGGTTATGGTCCTTGTTTGTTTATTTCTTCCCATTTGTATCTTATAAGAGGGACTCATCTGGACCATCTTGCTTTCTAGATTAGGAAAAAGACTCAGAGTGGTTAAGTACCTTGCCCAAGGAAGCACAGCTAGTAACAGCAGAACAGGATTCAACTCAGGTCTGAACCAAGACCTGCGCATGTTAGCCGCTAATATTCTGAGTCTATAAAGGAAAAGTTGAGCTCTGGGCGGGTGATGTTTACCGTGGCACTAACAGGGATTGCTATTCCTCTGCCGAAGAGAGGTTTCCGTAGTAGGGTGGGCATCTCGGTTAGACCACAGTACATTAAGGTTTGTACTTGAAATGCATGAGTCCACTAAAGCAAAAAAAAAAAAAAAATACAGTGGTTCGGCTTAGTCGATGCTGCCCAGAGCCGCTCTGCAGGATGGCAGAATCGTCTCGGTGAGTGGTACGATGAAGGTAGAATCTGAATCTTAGCGTCTGCGACAGAGAATGACGACAGTAAGTACAGCATTGGGCCTGGGAATTTCAGTTTTCACTTCTGTGCTAGCATGCATATATATACATATATATGTTTGTATATGTACATATACATATATATAATTTATAAAATCATCATTCTGGGAGTTCCAGAGATGGTGCAGCAGTTACAGGCTTGTACCCCTCTCACAGAAGACTGGGGTTCAGTTTGCAGCACCCACCCCAGGAGGCTCACATGAGCCTGTAACTCCAGGCCCAGGGGATCTGTGCTGTCTGATAGCCTATTATTGCACCTGTACCCATGCACACATGACCACACACACATATGCACATATGCATAATTACAAGTGTCAGTAGGTATCTTATCATATCAGGCATTCAGGGTGCCTCTTGAGAGTACCAGATTATGTGTCTGTGCCTTGCCCTGAGAAGAGCCCTTGCATATTATCTGGGACACTCTGCCGTCCCCTTCACTACATATAGCTCGAGCAGGATTGGTTTTGGTCACCATGTGGGAGTGTATACATGGTACTTCAGTCACGTCAGTGATTTTTCCAATGTGATTTTTCTAGTCACGATGCTCCAGAACGTGTTACGTTTTCCTCCCAGGACTCTGGCCATACCTGTGGTCATGGGATACACTGGAAGAACCCCTTCCCTAGAACTGCGTGTGCTCAACGAAGTCTTTCTTCAGGGATGTTTGGCAAATAACCAATTAGTCGGCAATGACCATGAAGTTAGAGAGAGAAGAAGATGTTTCCTAGGTTTTAACTTACATTGTCTCTCAGGAAGTAAAATAAATGGAGTATGGACATACTGTTGAAGCCGGCGGCAGCTGTGACCACAGGACTCAGCGGCAAATGTTGAAGACCCTTGCAAGTGGTGCGATTTATCCGTCGCACATTGATGGAGCGCTCCGTCCTTCAGCCTACCGTGGTAGAGTATGTCAGAGAGTAATGCAAGGGGATGATTCTTTCAGACTCTTCTTAGGGCAGAGTACAGTCATATAATCTGGTACTTAGAAGAGACACTCTGGACAATTTATGTGCCCAAGAATCAGAACTGGCTTATTCATGGCTTCTCAGGGAAGCCATGCATTTAAAGAGACAATTACTGCAACGGGTGATAAAACACTGCTGCCAGCAGAAAATGTTATTTTAGAAAAGATTTCAAAAGAATTCCTTACCCACGCCCTGGGTGACAACATGTTTAAGACGGCAAAACCACACATGCTCTCCCCTTATCTTCAGGGTTGTGTCCTGTCTACAGAAACGTCTGCGAACAGCAACGCCTTCCTTGGAGTCGATAGAGTTGATCTTCCCCTGGTTGGTAAAAAGCACGAATCCATTGTGGCAAAAGCTGACAGAATGCAGTCTTGCCGTCAGCCCTGTCTCCAGAGACCAGCGTGAACATACAAGATGGCTTTTTTATGTGTGACTTTAGGACCTACAGTGGTGACTCAGAGGCCAGGGGAGAGCAGGCTCTGGGAGCGACTCCCTTCGAAGTCTGAATGGGAGGAGGATGAATGGCTGGTGAAGTCACACTGCAGATGACAATTTCCCGTGGGTGGGTTATAAAAAGCGCGCTGGCAAATTCTGTGCAAGGTGTGCTGGAGACGAGACGCCGGAAGGCAATGTGCCTGCTTCCAAAGCCATCCATCAGGGAAAAGTACCTCCCAACGGAGGACACTATGTCTAGGGCAAGTTGGAGTGCGCATTAAATGTGCCTTCCTGGTGATCAGCGAACGGTTTATGCATATGAAATATGTAAATGTCAGTCACAGGTGCTTAATGAGGTAAGCTGCCTATGAACTCAAGTGGATCAAGGCGGGAGTTCACGTGTAAGCTCGTCTTGCTGTTGATGAATTACATAGATGGGCAATGTTATGACTGCCAACTTTATAATAGGGAATGAAATACATATATTAAAACACAGACAGTAAGTCTTCAGAGCACACACACAGATGCATATGATAAACATGTAAGCAATTTTTCTCCTCTCTCCTGCTTTAATTTCCTGTTCTTCACTTAGAATTCATCCCCTGTTACATGCACGCACGCACGCACGCGCACGCGCACACACACACACACAGAGAGAGAGAGAGAGAGAGAGAGAGAGAGAGAGACACGCACACACACACAGAGAGAGAGAGAGAGAGCAATCCCTCTATATTAGTTATTTATTATCAGAGACACATTTGTTGAGTGGGATGTAACCTAAAATAAATCAGTTTGGTTATTGGCTGAGGAGTCGCAGCCAATCCACAGAACAGATCTGAAGTTTAAGTCTCCGTTTTACAGATTAAGAAACAGACAGAAGCCCATAGCCCAGGGTTGGCATATGTTCTTAAAGGAACCAGGAGAGGGCTGGATCCTTTCCCTTTGGAAACTGTGACGTAGAAGCAATTTGACTTCTGGAAAGAAAACGTGCCCAAGTGCTCATGGCTGACTGGTACCGTGCAGGGTTCAATGTAGGAAAAGGGGGAGGGTAACATTTATTGTGGACATAGGTTGTGGGCATTGATCAGATCTTATCTTTATGAATCCTATTGTATAGTCCATAAATGAAAAATGTACACACAGTTCAGTGTTAAGTTATAAAACCTAATTTTAGTAGTCATATGCAAGCTTTTTTAAAAAATGAAACATGTCTACACTTAACAGCTAACTATAAGAATCTAGAAACTTAAATATGCCTTGCTCCAAATACAAGGATACATTTTTAATTTCCAAATTGGCTAAAACACTCAGCGGGAATAGATACCCAATTACAGGCCAGTAGAAACATCCAAGCTCTCTCCATCCTTCCCCTAAATCAACCTCACATTTAAAAATATGCAGGATATTAAAAAGGCAGATTATGCTTTTTCTAAATTCAATTAAGTAGTAATAGGGAGGGTCGGAGCCTTCAGGAGTTGAGATAATGAATGATTGAGGGCAATGTCTTTCTCTCAGCCTCCAGGCAGGCCATGCTAAATAAGAGGGTTTCGTTCAACGTGGTAATGGGAAACATCCATCACCTGCATCTCCCAGGCCAGCCCTAACTCGTTCTCAAGTGGAGAACATTATTAAACGCTTAAAGAAAACTGAAGTCACAGAGAGACATTTCCCTGGCTCATGATAATGTAGATTAATCAATGGAGACGATTTGTACGTTGTCTCCAGAATGTGGAATACAGAGTGGTTTTAAACATTCCAAGTCCTCAGAGCCGACTTAAAACATAGTACTCATGGCACTTCATCCAAGTTCTTTATTAAAATGGTCCGGTAGGCACACGGGGTTGGCCCATTTGTAAGTTACTTTCTGTGCCCAGCAACAAGCAGGTGTGTGGTAAACATATGAAAATGAGAAGACAAAAAACATTCAAACAAAATCTATCAAAGAGATGCTTCATTTCACCAGCCCGTTTGGTCTAATATGTGGTATTTTCAACCTAATACATGGATGTTGTTTATATCAAAAAGGTGTTGGGGGCTGGAGAGACTGCTCAGTGGTTAGGAACCCTTGCCGCTCTTCCAGAGGATGCAAGCTGTTCCACATCACCATGCCAGGTGGTTCACAACTACCTGGAACTTCAGCTGCAGAAGTCCTAGTCCCTCTTCTGATTCCAGGAAGCGCGCGCGCACACACACACACAGACACACACACACAGAGATACATATAAATAAAAACTAAATTAAATTAAAAAGTATGTACACTACATGTACAAATTAATGAAAACTCAATATCCGTAGCTGTTAGATCTCTCAGGTTGTCCAAATATCCAGAAAAGAGCTGATACTGGGCTATAGAAGGGTTTCTGGTGGTTAGGTAGTAGCCAGCATTCAGGAACATGTGAAACTGGTTCCCATCTGCCAGGAGGAGTCATTTCCCTTGCCTCTGGAGGAAGGGACATACGTGGTTCCTATCAGTACACCAAAGCCCATGCTGGCCTCCAGCCCCCTCAGCATCCCAAGTACCCGTTGTACACCTCAAGGTCTCCGCTTTAGCACCCTGGCTCCTAACCTCTGCAGGCAGGCCTGCCTCCTCCCAGACACACACCTGCTCGTTCTCTCTATAAAGGAAAGGTTTTTGCCCCTGCCCTGGATATTGTCAGAACCCTCCACCCCCCACCCTACGTCTCTCCCTCCTTTCCTCCCTCCCTCTCCCTCTCTCTCTCTCTCTCTCTCTCTCTCTCTCTCTCTCTCTCTCTCTCTCTCTCTCTCTCTCGCTATGGTTATGTGGCTGTGCTCCACTCTCTCTTTTTCCGCTATTCTTTCCCTCTGCCCTAGCCCTGGCCACATCTTGTCTGCAGGCCATGTCCAGCCTTTATCTGTTCTGGACCCTTCCAGGCGCCTCTGGCTGTTCCCTCTCTGGTATCTACAATAAAAGCCTTAACCATATCATGGAGGGGTTGTGTTGGCAGTTTCTTTTTTTTTTAATTTCTATGATTAGCTTTGTTATAGACCTACATTAGATGGGCAGGAAAGCCCAAGAGCCCCTCCCATCAAAAGCAAGCTGAATTAATTAACATTTAACAACAGCAACAAGAAAGCCAATGCTAGGACAAGGTGGTGCATGAATTGCCCTCAAAGGAGTGAAAAAAACAAAAAACAAAACTGAATGTTACATGAAAAAAAATCACACAGGAATAGAAAAAAAAGTCCCAAACAATGAAATCACAATATTTATCACATAGTCTGGCACCTGGGAGGTTAAAGTCCCAGGCCAGGAGCAAACCATCCACAATACAAAATCAGAACTCCCCAAAATGTGCGAGGTAGGAGGCTGTCACCCCCAGACCCCAGAGCGAGCGGAGAGCTGAACCATGACACACTCTTCAGAAATCGGGTGACCTGTCACCTGTGCTTTGGTGCCTTGCAGAGAGACTGAGACTCTACAAGGCTTCCGTGTTTCAGGGAGCTCCGGGCTGGTGTTTTGGGGAGGACTCCAGGGGTCCTGCCCAGTTGCCCCTGACAGTCTTCTTGCATGCGGCACCTGCACACAGGGGCATATGGGCAAGAAAGCTCGTCCCTCCCTCTGCTCCTCGATTTAGCCGACACCCCGTCACCGTGTCTCCGCCTTCTTCCCATGGGCCTTGGACAACTGCTTGAGCTTCTTCTTGTGGGTCTTTTTTTTTTTTTTTTTTTTTTTTTTTTTTTGGTTTTACGAGACAGGGTTTCTCTGTATTGTTTCGGAGGCTGTCGGTCCAGCCCGGCCTCGAACTCACAGAGATCCGCCTGCATCTGCCTCCCGAGTGCTGGGATTAACGGCGTGCGCCACCACCGCCCGGCCTTCTTGTGGGTCTTAATGTCTGTTTCTGTCAGTCTGAATCTGTCAGCCAGGCCCTGGCAAATCTTTCTTAAGTTGGCTTTGTAGCTTCTTAGCCCTTGCGACTTGGGGTGTTGATCCCAGGATGAGCTGGTTGAGGACTCCCAGGAATTAATGGGAATGGCCCTGGACCTGGGAGTCCTGCGTCTCATCAAAGGCAGCCTGAGGTGGTCGCCTCTGTGGTAAGCAGAGGGATAGGGATAGGTGTCAGGGCGGGCGGGCAGTCTGCTGTGTTAGAGCTCACCGCATCTCTCCTTCTCCAAGCAGTGCTGAATGAACCACGTCTCAACTTCCTCCTCCATCAGGTCAAGTTTGGTGGCCAGATTCCTTCGAGCCTCGAGGTCTGGGTATGGATCCTTCTGGAAGTCTTGTCCCAGTTGCCATGGCTGTCCCCATCTGTCCCCCTCCTCAAGGAGATCCGGGGTCTCAGGGGACAGAGCTGCTCCCATCTTCTCCGTCGTTCTCTGAGGACCGAGGGTTTTGGAGGATGTCCTGGAACTAGCTCTCATAATCCACGCTGGTCTCAAACTCGCCTGTTGGCCGTTTCTTTGCCGCGCAGTCGTTCATGTTTGTTTACTGTGAGACTTTTCCATCACCTCTCAAATCCTTTGACGGGTGACGTGTGCTTTGCTGTGGATGCTTTGTGCCTTCTGAATGAATAGATTTGGGAGCCTGGGAGTCATTGTAGGCATTTCTTCAAGGGCCCCCAAAGCTAAAATTTCAAATCGTCTTATTTTATACCTTATAAGAGCTTTACGGTCCTGGATGTTTTTGAACCATATGCCCTCTTTTCTATTTCTTTGCCTGTTAGAGCTTTCCATACCCATTTTAATGAGGGGAGGGTAGCTGGTTATGGTTTGGATGGGACATATCGTCCCCAAAGGTTCAGGTGTTGGACACTTGGTCTCCAGTTGGCAGCACTGTTTTGATGTGTTCTGGAAACTTTAGGAAGCATGACCTAACTAGAGAAAGTATGTTGAAGGAAGTTTCTGTCCCACCCGGTCCCGAAGCAGCTTAATCCCAAATAAACACACAGAGGCTTTTATTAATTATAAACTGACTGATGGCTCAGGCTTCTTATCGGCTAGCTCTCTCTCTTAATTATTTACCAATTCCTATTAATCTGTGTATCTCCTCCACACGGTCTTGGCTTACTGGTGATGTGCAAGCCTCTCGCTTCCTTGGTTAACTACATGACGTCTCCCTTGAGACTCACTGTCTCCCTTCCTCTTTCCAGCCTTCTCCTAGTCTGGCAGCCCCTCCTATACTTCCAGCCTGGCTACATCCTGCCCGTCCATTGGATGAAACAGCTTTATCCATCTACCAATAAGAGAAGCGTATGTTCACAGCACACAGAGAGGCCATTGGTCACTAAGGGAGCCTCGCCCCTGCCCCTCTCTTCTGGTCTCCATGAGGCTGGACTACTCGTGGTGACACTCTCGGCTCTCACCACCATCTTCTACCCATTGAATAGAGTCGGGAGGCTGCGTGTGACCCGAGAGTCACCCGAAACCGTGAGCCCAAGTCAGTCTTTCTTTCCTAAAGCCGTTTACGTCTCGCGTCTTCTTCGCAGCAGTAACAGTGTGCGGGAGATGCTCAGTGGGTAAGGCACTTGCTGCACCGACCAGAGGCCCCGAGTTCAGATCCCCAGAACCCATGTGGAGCTGGACACGGCAGCCCACACCAGTCAGTGCTCGGAGGCGTCCTCTGACCCCGACACACCCCTGTGGCAGGCACGCAAGAGCACGCACGAGTGCACGGGCATGCGCATGCAGAGGCTAGCTGGCCGGAGGGCAGCTCGTTTCCCTTTGTGCACAAATATGAAGACATGCCCTCCGACGGGTGGGCTGTGTGAGCTGAAGCAGCAGCATGGCGTCGTTTTCGTGGACATGGACCAGGAGGCCGTCAGCTGGCGTTGTTATTACTCAATGGTACAAATTGTCGAGAAAATGCAGGTCAGGCCTGGCGGGACCTGGCCAGTGGCGGGATGTTTCTGTGCTTATGAGGACTCCCCTTGCTATCTGGACGCTTGCCTCCTGGGTCCTTCATCTCAAATGCAAAAACCTCAGCAAAGAGAGGCATCAAACCAGTCCCGGGTGGGAACTCACTGACACCCTAACCTTTTGACTTGCTACACTTGGCTCCCAGAATTCCTTCCTGGGGGATCACACGGTCTTATCGGGCCGAGGAGAAAGACGCTTTGAGACGGAAAGAAAATATAAAAGATTACCTCAAGTCGGCCCTGTATTCAGGGTCCAGTAACACCTCCCAGATGGACACAATTCTGTTGTTGCTTCCAAGATTACAGCCAGACATAGTCGCTCCCAAATATAACCACAGCACTTGGGGGCTGAGGCAGGAGGATTGCTTTGAGTTCAAGCACAATCCTGTTCTAAAAGCCAAGAAAGAAATGGAGGAATGGTGAAGGAGGGAAGGTTAGGGAGGAAGGGGGAGGGAAGGAGAGGGAGGAAGGGAGGGAGGGAGGGGAGATGGGGTGGGAAAGAAGGCGTGGAAGAAGAAATAGAGAAAGAGAAAACATGGCATTAGCTGATCTGGTAGCTCTTTTATATCCATCTAAATCACCCATTTTAGTCTGAAAATCCATGATCTTATTTTATAGTTGATTCTAAGCTATGCTTTCTATGGTATGCCCATGAAAATTGTTTTTTTCATATTCCAGGACCCTGTGGGTATATCTGTACTGCATCTAATCTGATCCAGTCTGTCCTGTCTGTCTGTATGGGTGCTAGAACATTATGGACTGTCTGTCCTGCCTGTCTGCATGGGTACTAGAACATTACTGACTGTCTTTCCTGCCTGTCTGCATGGGTACTGGAACATTATAGACTTTGATTGCAGCAAACCTTGGTTCTATCAACTGTCATTCCTCAGTTTTGGGGCCTTTATAACTGCTTATGGCTTTTAGACATCAGTTTGGCCATCATTATACAGCAACACTATTTCTCAGGTGATGCTGCAACGATAAACGGCACGCTTGCTGAGGGCATAGGCAACTCTTTATTGTAGAAATTACAAGAGAAAATGAGCAACCCAGATGAGTTGAGTAGTTTTCCCTGCTACCCAACTGGAAGCCGAAAAGAGGGCCAGAGGCTCTGCTGCTTGGACTTTTATTCCTTCCTCCGTACACGCCCTTAGCCACGCCCAAAAGTGGGCCTGGCTAGCGGCGTAGTTCACCGCCTACATCCATAAACGTCTCTAGTCATGCCCAAAGTGGATTTGGTTAGCAGCTCCATTCTGTCCTTTCGTTACCACATCCGTATGCGTCTCTAGAGCGCCAGGTGGCTAGTGGCGGAGTCCTAAGTTTCCCCCTACACTCAGGTGGTTAGATGAGTTCCAAGTGGGTTTACCAAGTTTTCGTGCTAATCACTGCGCGGGCAACACATGGTTAGAGCCCAGAATTTATCTACCTTTCCATTCTCGGGTGTATTTATTCTCTTTCCTCGCCTTCTTGCCAAGGTCAAACAATGTACACACATCATCCTCATTCTTGTCCAAGTCAGCAATACTCAAAACTTGGATCATGACAGGACCCTGACGCTACCTGTCACACAACACTAGAAATCTCTTGTAGATGACATTAGTCTGTTAAGCATGCTATTTTCCCTCAAACTGCTCCGTCTACCCCTTCTTACCCACCATCATGATCGTGAGAGTATCACGACAAACCTCCATACAGCTTTCTTAAACATAAATACATCATAGCCACTGATTTCCTTCAGGCTCCAGTCTCTCAAGGAGGAAGTGTGTTCGTGCGCCACGACTCATTCAGGAGGAGGTCTGCGTGTAGCACGGTGCCTCTTATTTACATCCAGCAGTGGAAACTCACTGTGTGTTTGCCGAATTCCAAAGCAGGGATGGATTCCATTTACTTACGGTGAGTCACCACTGCCCTGCTGGCAGAGTCTCCCTATAACTGTCTATTGGACTATTAGCCCCAACCTGGATCACTATAATCACTGCTTCTTTTTCATATACAATTATCTTTCTAGGAACTTCTAGAATCTTGCTAATGTTTATTTATAGTTTGCAGAATCTACCTTCAGTTCCTTTGGGCATAAAAGATATTATCCAAATTACATTATTATTGCTTGTCATTTTTTTTTCTCTGAGACAGAATCTCACATGGTCGTCTAAGCTTGCTTTGAATTTGTGACCCTCCTACCTCTGCCTCTGGAGAGCTGGCATTGTAGGCATGAACCTCCCAGCTCTTTTGGCAACGAACTACGGTGCCAGTCCTTCTCCTGTGTGCTAAAGGGTTAACCCAGAAAGCTTGGTGTACTCAAGCCCTGAACATTCCACGAAAAGCCTGGCCCTTGGGAGAGTCAACTCCTGAGCACCGGCATATCCCATTTGACAAGAACATAATGGTATGTCTCAGGCCTCAGGCTGCTGCGGCATCATTTTGACCTCTGGTGTGCAGACACGGAACGTGTAAGGTCAGTCATGCAGAAAACTTCTCTACGTGACCGATTGCCATAAATCCCGGACGACGGCTCAGATGAGTTCCCAGACAATGCTTTCATCTTCGTGTAGGAGAGTTAAATCCTGTGCCTGCACCTCCACGGAAAGACAAAGCTGGAAGCCTGAGATGGTTTCATCCTCTGCTTTGTCTCTTGCGTGTACCCTTTAAAATACAAGCTTTAACCGTGAGTGTGAGAAGTTTTCTGAACCCCAAGTCTTTCTCATGAGTCTAGCCTGAATTGCTTTTGGGGATTCCCATAGCACTGCTGCCTCTATTTTAGTCTTGTGCTCATGGTCAAATTAGCCTCATTTATGTTCACATTCCTCCTCCTCTTCCTCTTCCTCCTCCTCTTCCTCATCATTATCATCACTATTTTGTGGTTATATCTTCCAAATGAAGCATTCTTTACTAGAGGGAAGTGGGGTGTTCATAAGAATCAGGAATAAATAAACTTTACAAGACTCAGGAAGTTTCTAAAGCTTAAAGCTTCTCCCCATGGTTATCTAAGCCATCGGTGGTGGGGGGAGACTCTCCTCTCCTCTCTCTTCCTCCCTCCCCTCCTTCTCCCCCTCCCTCTCTCCCTCCCTCTCCCTCTCCCTCCCTCTCCCTCTCCCCTTCCCTTTCCCCCCCTTCTCTGTGAAGTACAGATCCCTGCAAGTTGTGCAGGGAGCTCCAAGATGCAGTTTCATGAATCCTGGCCCACACTCGGGTGAACTTTCTAGCAATACAACTGCCTTTGAGTCACCCACACTAATAAACTCACTGGCTCACCAAGCTCAACTTGGGTAGAACCAGTTTGGGGCTCTGGTATCCATGCCCTATCTCTGGTATCCATGCCACATCTCCCCATGGAAAAAAATCACACAGCATCTCCTTGGCAGGGCAGTGGTGCTATCAAGTTATTTTCCTGAGAACTGTCACAAACATTCCAGGGAAAAACTAAGTGTCAGCATATAATATATATCCAACCAAAGCCTGTATCCTTTAACTGTCTGTCTCATGAGCTCCTGTAGGCCTCCATCCCCAGGATATAATTCTCTAGACCAGAGTGCTAACCTCAGTTAGAACCAGGAGAGTTTCCTTTCACTCTTGAGGACATTTTCTCTCTCCTGTCCTTCCTGTTTCTTGAACACTTGTCATTCATCATCTTTATCTTTTGGCCTTAACCTGTACATCTATCTCTTTCTCGATCTATTATTTAAAAAGTTCCTTTGGTTTTCTTTGAATGTATGTGGGATTTCTTCTGTTCCCAGGTCATTGGATGTCAGCTTTATTTTGGCCTTGCTTTTATGTGTCTGTGATGTTCCTTTTGTCACAGGTCTTTTCTTTTCAAAGATAAGAACATTCTTTGCTCAATTTTAAGTTTTATTTATTGCAATTATTTTTCCGGATTGCAAAAGGGATGTACAGTCAACATCAAGACTTGACACATATTTACACTTTAGAAAGTGCACCTAAATGTTCTTTAATTCCCTAGGTCCACGGCACAGAATCCCTGTGAACCCAAGCGATTTCTTTAATTTTCTTGGCATTTTCTTCCCCAATGGCATGGGCAGGGACAAAATTTTAAAAAAGTTCTCCAGCCCCCTTTTAATTCCACGGTGGAAATCAGGAACAGATGGTACAGACAGACACATCTGGCTCTTCTCTGAACTTCTAGACACGGTGCCTTTCCCGTGTCTGCGATGCATATATGGGCCCGCAGCTCTGTCTTCCTAAAGTCAGGAATACCTTTCCCTGTCTTGGTTTGGACATTCAGATTGTGAGGCCTCAAACTGGCCTCTGTGTGCTGCTGCCTGTGTCTCCAGAGAAGAGTATGTATGGATGCCTCTGGGAACAAAGGCTTCCCCAGGTCTGTGTGTCACAGCAGAGGCCCAGGACCCATGGGTGGGGGGACCCAGCGCTATGTTTAGATCTGGTTGATTTGTTTTTTTGAGTCTTGCCCATAAACACCCTTTGGTGACACATGAATAGTTGAGGGCAGCAAGTCAATTTATTTAGAATGTTAGAGACTTCAATCTGTATTAATATTATTTTCAGGCGAGGTGTATTAGTTTATTTTTTCTCTTGCTGTGGCAACACACATGACCAAGGCAATGCGTAGAAGAAAGAGTTTATTTGGGCTTATGGTTCTAGAGGGTTAAGGGTCTGTCAGGACAGGTAAGCAAGGTAGCAAACAGTGGGCCGGATCAAGGTTCTGGGGTTCATGTTTTGAACCAAAAGCAGGAATTGGAGAGAAAACTGGGGATGACACAAGGATTTTAATCTCAAAGCCTGTCCCCCAGTGACATACTCCCCCCAGCATGACCGCACTGCCTAAACTTACCCACACAGCACCAACTGAGGACCAAGTAGTCAAACATCTGAGCCTGTGGGTGACATCTCATCCTTACCACAAACAGTGTCTCACTGCTTATCCCTGACTGTCCTGGAACTCCCTTGGTAAACCAGGCTGGTCTGTAACACACAAAGATCCTCCTGCCTCTGCCTTCTGAGTGCTGGGGTTAAAGTGTGTGCCAACACCTCCAGGTAGAGCCTTTTTGTTTTTTTATTTTTTATTTATTTTTCTCTTGTCATTACGCCCCTATCAGTTTCCCCTCCCGTCACTCCCACCTACAGAAAATGTTAAATAAAATGACCTGTGGGTCCAAGGCTTGCCTAGTGTGTAAGATGTTGGTTACCTCGGAAAACTGGAGCTTGGTGATTCAAATGTTGAGGATGCTGTGTTTGAAACCATTGTTTTGACATATGTTTGTTTGCAGGAATGGGAAAAAATGCAGATGGGATCCCCTGAGTGGGGTCACCTAGGCAGCTTCCCTAGGACAAGGTATTATCCTAGGAGACCACAAGAAGGAACAGCTATAAGGAAAAGTGGGAAAACATTGGAGACAAATTTAGCTATCCCACCATAAGTACAGGAGTAAAGTCATTTCCCCCTCTCTTTTGACTTATTCTGGGATCAAAGCAGCGCTTGTGATTTTTTTGTTGTTGTTGCTGGATTGAAACACTTCTAGAGAGAAGATGTGATGTCCCATCTGCAAAGAGTTTACTTTTATCAGCTTAAATCAAAGGGTTTTTTTGTTTTTGTTTTTGTTTTCTGAGATAGGGTCTCTCTATATAACCCTGGTTGGCCTGGAACTCACAAAAATTCACCTGTCTGCCTCCTAAATACTTGGGTTAAAGACATGCACCATTATACCCTGCCTAACTATAGTTTTTGATATACAACCAGTGTCTACAAAGAAATGGAAACCCCAAAAGAATATTTTTTTTTAAATCTTGGAATTGTCAAGAGTTGCAGTTATCAAAATAAGCTCATAGGATTTGTTGTGGGGAATTTGTACACCATGTGAAGAAGTATTGCTGTGATAGGTGTAGTAAAAAAGTTGAACGGCCAATGACTAGTCAGGAGGTATAGGCGGGATTTCCGGGGACAGAAGGGAAGAGGAGGAGGAATCTAGGCATGCAGAAGAAGCCAGGAGACAGGGAGAGGAAACGGGAGGGAGGTGCAGGATGGCAGAGAGGTAATGCCACGTGATGGAACATAGATTAACATAGATGAGTTAATTTAAGTTGTAAGAGCTGGTTAGGAACAAGCCTAAGCTATTGGCCGAGCTTTTCATAATTAGTAAGTTTCCATGTCATTATTTGGGAGGTTTCTGGTGGGACAGAAAAAAAGACTTGTTACTGGAGTGGCCTGTAAGTTTCTTTGGGGTCTTCGAATAGCTATGATTCATTTATTCATTCCCAGATATCTATTTTAGCACTCACTAATGTGTGAGGCATCTGTGATACACAATGAGGCCCGTAGGTACCTTGCCGTGGCCAAGCATATATTCAGATGGTTTTCACTCTAAATGGCAAATCCAAGAGAAAACTATATTATATATAGTTCATAAATATATGACGGTAGGCATGGGGGGGGCGGTTCTTTTAGTTATAGAAGGATGCCCAGGAGGACAGGAAGTGAGTCCTTCACCTAAAATTCACACATTTGGTGTTTGTGTTGGACAGTTAACAATGGCAACTCGCTTGTGCCCCTGCCTAGGGAAACCTAGAGCGCTCCAGTAGCAGTGAGATTCCTTAAGACCCGAGAAGCCTTAAAAAGCCTTTAGCCAGCACGCAGTGGCCGTGGACTACAATTCCCAGAAGGCTTGGCGGCAGAGCGCGCCGAGGGAGCTGCGTCATCTGTGCGCGCCTCCCGGTAGTGGGTGCAGGCTGTGAAAGCATGGCAGCTGCTGTGACCCAGGTGGTGTCATCTCTGACTGCAGACTCAGCCGCAGACGCTGCAGGGACAGCCGCGACTCCTGTAGCTGCAGCCGCAGCGGTGGCGGCCCCGACCGGATCGCAAGCCCAGGTCTCCAAGGCCGCCCTGGCTGCGAAGCTGCTGTCGCTCAGCGGCGTCTTCGCCGTGCACAAGCCCAAAGGGCCCACTTCAGCCGAGCTGCTGAACCGGCTGAAAGAGAGGCTGCTGGCAGGTACCGCAGCTGGGGCAGGGGCCCGCCCTGGGATTTAAGCTTTATGTTAGTGTTTATCCATTTACTGACTTCATTTGCGCGCTCAGGGCTCAAGAGAGGGGGAAGGGGGAGAAAAAGAGCGACCGTGGAGTTGAATTAACTCTGCACTTGCAACCCAGGGCATCTCGGGTTGCGTTTAATCCCAAGCGCAGGCTCACGCAAGCTTCTCACGGGCAGTGTGTGCATGCATGTGTGTATGTGTGTGCATGAATGTGTGCATGAGTGTGTGTGTGTGCATGCATGAGTGTGTGTAGAATGGGAGCCAACTTGCACACACGAGTTTCCACCCTGATGTTTGCAGCCCCGTTTTCTGTAGTTTGAACCCTCCCGGGGCTTTTGTTTGGCCCTGTGGATGAGTTCCACCAAAGGAAACTCCAGCTTTGTGCCACCCCCCCCCACCAAGTTGCAAATTTAAAATAGTTTTGAAAAGCACACAGACCGAGTTAGCTGGGACTTAGTGGGCTCGAGACTTCGTCCCTTAGTCAAACACAGGTTCCTAACATTTGCAGAGGCGGTGATTCTGAAGATCTGGGGAATTTTTGGGTAATGGCACTCTTAAGCAATCGCTCCAGAGCTAGGGTAAGTACTCCGTAGTGCTCTGTGGAGTGTGTTTTGGGGAACATTAAAATAGAAGTCAGGAAAATGTCAGAAAAACATAGTTCATCATCTCAGTAGATCAGCTAAACTTAAAACTGTGGCGTTAAGAACAAACAGCAAACAAAACCTCTGTTTTGTTTTGCATGTGTATTTGTATGCAGTGTGCATGGGTGTGTTCCTGTGTGTGTGTGTGTGTGTGTGTGTGTGTGTGTGTGTGTGTGTGTATGTGTATGTGTATGTGTCAGAGGTGATGATGGCCATCTTCACAGAAGGGTTTCCATTTTGTATGTTGAGGCATAGTAGCTCTCTTGAACCCAGAGCTTGCCAATTAGGCAAGTCTAGCTACTCAGCTTGCTCCAGAGAACAAGCAGCCCCTGCTCCCCAGCATGGGAACCCCCGCTTCAGTGCCATGTGGTGCTCTTGTGATTGCTGGCGATCCAGACTCCAGTCCTCCTGATTGCATGGCAAGCACGCTACCCTATGAGCAACCCCAGTTCCAGTCCTGGTTTTCCTTGATTCTCATGGTAAAGCCGCGTCTTTGCTGTCCTGCAGAGACCTGGAGATGAACAGTGGCTGTCTCTTCCCTTGACTGTGCTTGAAGTCTTGTGATTTCTGCAGGCTTTAGTCATTAAAAAAGAAAAAATGAAAAAAGAATGTAAGTAATTTAGGCCTAGTTTGTCTTGGTACCAGTTCAGAAACTTCTTCCATTGTTCAGTGTCCCTGGAAGACTGTCTTTTGTTTGTTTGTTTTGAGATAGGCTTGCCTTGAACTCACTATGTAATCAAGGGTCTTCTGGAACTCACAGTGATCCTCCTGCCTCAGTTCCTGAATGTGAAACTCACAAGTGTGTCCCTCCGTAACTGATTTTAAATTGTCCTTTAGACATGGAATCAAACTATTCTAATAGGAATTTTGCTGTTTATTTAACGGGTAAGATGAAAATTCAGATGCTTATTGTCTAATTGGCGCATGCTTCCAGATGCTTAAATCCTGGTGCTACACCCGCTCATTTGTTAAGTGTGATGGTTAACTTTGGTTGCCAGCTCAAAACGACCTAGAATTTCCTGGGAAGAGAATTCCAGTGAGGGAAGAGGGATTGTCTGTACAGGGTTGGTGCATGGGCATGCCTGTGAGGGATTGTTTAGATGAGTTCACTCACAGGAAGACCCAGACTGCTGTGGGTGGCACCATCCCCTAGACAGGGCGTCTTGATCCTTGTAAGAGTGGAGGCACTGACTTGAGTGCACGTTAGGTGATCATGACGCATGCTTGCCTTCATTTTCACCGTGACTGGATGTGATGTGACCAGTCGTCTCGAGCTCTGCGATGACAGACCGTAAGCCGGAGTTATGAGCCAAATAAACTCTTAGTTACCTTTTGTGAAGGTATTTTATTACGTCCTTGACGGTAGAACTCTGAGTTTTCTCTACACTCCATTTCCTGTCGGGATATTGAACTCAGGGATGGGACTGATGATGTCAAGGCTGTTGCTGGGTGCTGGTACCCTTGTCTATAGTGCTTGTGATTGGGTTGCTCTGTGTCCATATTAGCTTAAATCACTTCCTGAATGTCATCCAAACACCACCCTGACCTGCCCCTCCGACCCCCCCTTCCCCAATCAGAATCACCTTGCAAGATGCTTGACTATAGCACATTCTGTCCTGTCCAGGTTTGATAAGCGCCGGTTCTCTCACAATCAGCAGCCACGGTTAACATCCTTTGCCTGTCCTCACAGTGATTTCTGCCCCTGTAGGGTCCCTTCTCTTCTGTAACTTTGAATCTTCCAAGGCCTGAAGCATACTAGGTTTCTTTGTAGTTGGAAAGTGTAACACGAAACATAAAAGACCCAGAGACTAAAGCTGGCGTTCAAGCTTCAAGCTGAAGACCAGAGAAGCAAAGCAGCCAAGCTAGTAATCTCACCTTTACCAGGCTGAATGGCAGTCCTGTCTCCACAAATCCTCAGGGGCAAAAGCTCTCCGTTCCTGTCTCCTCCTCATCTTCCTTTCTCCACCCACCCATATCCTCCCATCTCTGCTTCCTTTAGTGCTGGGATCAAAGGTGTGAACTCTATTACTCTTCACTCTTGTGTAGGCCAGTGTGGAACCCAGAGAGATCCAACTGCCTGTCTCCTGAGTCCTGGGGTTGAAAATGTGTGCCACCACTGCCTAGCTTCTACAGCTAACTAGTGTGGCTGGCTTTGCTTTCTGGTCCTTCAAGGCAATCTTTATTAAATCATAAATAATGTATCACCACAAGAAAGGACCATCAGTGGTCTTCCATAAACACTCATCTGAATAATTGGTTCAGAAGAGTGGACAAAATTTAACTAGTGTGTATACATTAGCGATAAATTTGGGCTCAGAAAAGATGATTGGATTTATGAGATGTTTATACTGTGAGACATATCAGGATTCCCTAATGTATTTTGGTAAATTCACTGACAGATCCACGATGCATTGGAAATCCAGGCCTGATATCTGTTCTGTGGTTCTTAACCTTCCCAATGCTGCGACCCTTTAATACAGTTCCTCATGTTGTGGGGACCCCAACCATAACATTATTTCCATTGCTACTTCATAACTGTAATTTTGCTACCTTTATGAATCATAATGTGAGTATCTGACATGCAGGATGTCTGATTCGGTCCCCCGTGAAAGGGTCGTGACCCACAGGTTGAGCACCACTGTCTGAGCGGCTCGCGTTGCTTCAGCCGTGCCCCTCCAAGGGTGGCGATGCCCTGTCTGAGGGACACTAGGACGGTGTGCCTGACCTCAGATCCTGAACCAGTGGGATGGCCATGCCGTGAGGCGGGGTGGCCCAGCACACCCCTCTTGGGTGTTCAGTCTGTCTTCTCCACTTCCGCTGGCTGGCTTTCCTCTTGTCTCTGCCCTGTGCTCTCTTTTCATTTCATGTCACGTTTTCTGTCTCCTGCTGTCAGTGGCTACAAAGTAGGCCTGATGGGCAGAGGGATGGAGTACAGGGATGACAGTTGTCATGACGACAAGAGACAGGGAACAGGGATGACAGTTGTCATAACGACGAGAGACAGGGAACAGGGATGACAGTTGTCATAACGACGAGAGACAGAGAACAGGGATGACAGCTTTCATAATGATGGGAATGTGAGATGATCTGGGCTGGACCCCTTAGTTCTTTTCTTGTTAGTAAATGCAGGGGTCCCCAGGTCCTCTGTGTGTTATGGCTGCTAGCACAGTGTTGCTGTAGGATTCCTAACAGTGGGAGAGCGGGTGTGTCTCTGACTCTTTTGCCTGCCCCTTGGGACTCTTTTCCTCCTGTTGGATTGCCCTGATATGAGGGCCTTTGCCTTGTCTGATCGTATCTTGTGTTTTTTTTTCATGTTTGGATGTTTTCTCTTGTAGGCCTGCTCTTTTCTGAAGGGAAATGGAGGGAGAGTGGATCTGGGGGAGAGGGGAGGCCGGGAGGGGCGGAGGGAGGGGAAGCTGGTCAAGATGTATTTTATGAGAGAAGAATCCATTTTCAATAATAAAGAAAAAATATCCTTCGGAGGTCAAGGGGCAGCTTAGCTGTCATGTAATCGCCCCTTACCCTCTTGTTGAGATCTGTTTCTTTAATGAACTGAAAGTTTGGCTCATGAGGGCAGCAAGTGGAACCAGCTCGAGAACCGAGTGTAGGGAGAAGTAGCCCTGCGTGAGATGCTTTCAGAGTTGGGAAGCACCCTGGGAGGGCGGAGGAAACTGAAGATGTCTAGAGACGTTATCTGAGGACCTTTAAAACTAGCTGCGTGTGCCGAACCATGCCATTTTCCAGCTGTAGGGGCATTGCTAGAATTAAATATTGACTCACTCGAAACTGTTTTCCTCAGGGCTGCAAAGATGCCTGTGCAGATATGAACACTGGCCGCTCTTCCAGAGAACACAGATTCCCAGTGCCCACTGGGGTCTCAGTTCCTTCTGTAACTCTAGTTGGGGGGGGCTCTGATGCCCCCTTCTGGCCTCCTTGGGCACTGCATGTATATTGTACACAGATACACATCCAACCAAAACGTCCATACACAAACAAATAAGAATTGTTTTTCTTTTCCTAGTTTCTAGTTGACTAACTTTGAAATACTGTTCTTTTGTGTACATTTATGTGTGTGGGTGTTGATGCATGTGTGTGGAGGCCAGAGGGCCTGCCCAGGCACCGTCCACCTTGTTTGAGCCGTGGATGTCTTCAAGCCTCAGAGACCTGCCTGCTTCCCCTTGCCAAGCTCCGCGATTATAAATTCACGTCACTACACCCAGTTTTTTCTTTCATGTGGGTCCTGAGTTTGAGGTCAGGTCTTAAGCTCGAGTGACGAGGACTGTACCAGCTGAGCTATTCTCTGGCCTGGCTACGCAGTCTTCGTTGTTTTGATTTCTGAGACAGGGCCAGCCTGGGACTCACTACGTAGACCACCCTGGCCCCACTGAGCCGGCCGTACGTTTTAAAGTCTGCTTTTTACCAGTTAAGTGGCTGTCGGCTGACACCTGCACTGTCTTGATCTTGAGTGGGTCGTTGTGTCCATATTCCTCCTGACGTGTCTTGGTAATCACTCTCTTCATCCCCATCACTCTCGTAGAAGCTGGAATGCCTTCCCCGGAATGGAACAAGAGGCAAAGGCAGACCCTGAAAATTGGACATGGAGGGACGCTGGACAGCGCCGCCCAAGGTGTTCTGGGTAAGGACGCGAAGGAAGCCTGATAGCACTCTCCTTTAGTACCAGGAACGCTAGTCGGAAGCAGATGAAATTGTCTGAAACCCTGGCTCCTCAGCACACCCTGGGAGGTCCTAGTTGCACTGTACGCACAGTGCTCCTTCTAGGAAGCCCTTGAGTGGTAAAGCCACAGCGCCCAGTACACAGCACCACCCAGCACCACCCAGCAGCACCCAGTACAAAGCACCACCCAGCACCACCCAGCAGCACCCAGTACAAAGCACCACCCAGCACCCAGCACCACCCAGCAGCACCCAGTACACAGCACCACCCAGCACCCAGCACCACTCAGCAGTACCCAGTACACAGCACCACCCAGCACCCAGCACCACTCAGCAGTACCCAGTACACAGCACCACCCAGCACCCAGCACCACTCAGCAGTACCCAGTACACAGCACCACCCAGCACCCAGCACCACTCAGCAGTACCCAGTACACAGCACCACCCAGCACCCAGCACCACTCAGCAGTACCCAGTACACAGCACCACCCAGCACCCAGCACCACTCAGCAGCACCCAGTACACAGCACCACCCAGCACCCAGTACACAGCGCCATTCTCTTCTACGTGTGCACGGGGCTTTGAGCAGAGGGTTGAATCTGAGGAGGACAGTTAACACCATGTATGTGGAAAGGTGTGGGTGTGGCTGCCGTCTGTGGACCTGGATTTTGGGGACTATTTCCTGCCTTTCCTATGTCATAACATGGTTTGCTGTGTGACTCTGTGGGCTTCTGCTTCCGTCTAGGAATCTAGAATTCTAGGCTACCACACAGGCCTGGGTGACCATTTCCCAATGCCAAATAAAGCATTGGGTACTGTTCCTGACATGTTTCCTGAGAGAAGCATCGTATATTGATGCTGCATTTCAACATTGTTGAAAGAGCACGCCCGTGTGTCCCCTAAGCGGGAGGGAGAGGATGAGGAAGCCGGACTGGGGATTTACTATGTCAGGAAATCCCACTAAGTCATAAATACACTATAAATAATAGATCCTAGCTATATATTAGTCTTTGGGCATGGGATAGTTGTGGGGCTACTCACAAGGTATTGTACAGCTTTGGGGGTATTGGTGTATCTAATATAATCTCAGATCAGTTGTATTTAGAAAGTAAACCTGATAATTCTTGAGGGGAAGCCATTTGTTTTTCACAGAGGTTTATAGGTTTAATTGCTTGTGGAAGAAAACTTGATCGAGAGGAGGAAAATCATCTGTCCTTTTAATTGTCTTGTTTTAGAACTCTGGTAGAGGTTCAGAGTCTTACCTTTACGGGCTGTTAAGATGTACATCCATAGGGTCTGGTGTATTTAAAACTTCCTGAGATTGCACCTTAGGCACAGGAATGCATATATCGGGCCTCCTGTGATCTCCATCTCCAAGTACTAGAACAAACCTCTATCCCTCTATGCAATACTTGACGTGATTTAATCCACCTGCCTTTGCTCCCTGAGTGCTGGGATTAAAGGCGTACACCACCATACTGGCCCTGTAAAAGCTTTTTTGAAAGAGTAAACACAAGCAAGCCATCAGAGGGCTTCCTTCAGGGCCATCTAAAGTCAGAGTCTGCCCTGGGGAGGGGTTCCTGTGAACATGTAGACCTGGTTTTTCCTGTGACTGATGCTGGAGTTATGTTTTTCTGTGGTGTGTGTGTGCTGTTGTTTCCTTTAGATCAGGCCTCTTCTTCCCTACCAGGGAGAGTGAGGCTGGAGGGGATAATGGTTGGTGTCTCCCCCCCCTCCCCCCCCCCACTGAGTCACTCTGCTGTCCTGTCATTCCCTTCTTCCCGTTGTGACTTTCCTGTGTTCTTTCTCCCTTTCTCTCTGACTTTCCCATCCTCCCCATCGGACTCTGTTCTTGCTACACATCACAGGGGACAGCTTTTAATCTGCCATCTTCCTGGGAAGCACTTTATGCGCTTTAGAATCTGTTCTTTGTGGTACAGACTCAAGATCTAAGGTGAAAAGTAAATGGGAAAGAAAAATAGTGTTATTGCAGGAGAGCTTGCAACATGAGCTAATGTAAGAGCTGTTGGCCTGGGGTTATATCACCTTCACCTTTAGGACCCTTGAGCCTGTTAGGTCAGGTCACGGGGTGGGGGTCAGTCAGAGTTGATGTAGCTGGTCAGATGACTCAATGAGACTTCCCTGGACTTTCCAGGTAAGCCCAGTGAATATCTTCAGAAGTAGATGAGGCACAGAGGAGGTCAGGACATGACCGTGGAGGCTGCCGCGATGCGATCGCTGGCTTCCAAGAGAGAAGGGACCACAACCCAAGAGTGAGCAGCCTCCAGGAGCTGGAAAAGGCCAGGCATCCCTTGGGGAAGCTTTTAGCTGCTCCCCTAGGACCGCAGAAGCGGCACAGCCATGTCAGTCCCCGGAGGTCACTCTAAACTGATGTAGCACTGTTGTAGCCTGTGGTACCTGCTTTAGATTTCTGGCCTGAGACCTGTGGGCTGCTCTAAGCCACGTGCACAGTTTGTGACAGCAACCAGAAGAAACCAATCAACATCGCCAGTCCCTTAAGACAGGAACTTAGATTTCCAATGATCACTTCAAATAGGTGTAGCTTTGCAGGTTATAAAAGCACAGTGATATTTCCAGAAGTATTACAAACTGCATTTCTTCTTAGCTCCCTATTCATGCGTATTTTTATTTACTTTTATTTTGTGTCTCTGGGTGATGCCAGAACAGGGTATTGGATCCTCTGGAGTCAAGAGTTATGTCTGGCTATAAGCTGCCATGTGGGCGCTGGGAACTGAACCCAGGTCCTCTGGAAGCGCAGCCAGAGCTCTTAACCACAGCGCCGTCTCTCCATTCCCTGGCCAGGTCTATTCTAAGACGGAGCTTTGCTTTCTGGTCTCGCTCAGTCCTGCGCCTGTGCACTAAGTACACAATAGGATTTCGCTTGATCAAATGTGAGTGCAGGCCTTGGAGTGGGGGGAGGGGAGAGCCACCACCAAGGAAAACTGCAGAATTCGTTGTCCCTTGACTCTTCCCCCAGCCCTTCATGAAAGCTGCCTTCGCAGCCCCTGCAGGGTCCCGGCTGCAGTTATGCTTCCTAGACAACCATTGCTGGCCCAGCCGTCTCCATGTTCGGCTTCCACCAAGCACCTCGGTTCCTCACCTCCTCCTCCTTTACTGTGAAATGAGAGGGTTAATCTGGGTGACTCGCAAGTGGCTCCTTGAAGTTTCACCTGTCTGGAAGCCATGGTCACAGTGCAGCACGTGGCTGAGTTAAAGCCACCCACGCCTGCCTGCTTGTGAGGCTCGTGTCTGAGAGTCTGCGGTTTGTCCCAAGACCACACTGCTTCTCTCCATACGTCCCTGCCAACCCACCCCACTTGCTGTGCTGACGGAAGCGCTGGCCTCGCCTGCCACCTCCCCCAGCCGCCCCGCTCTCTGTCCATGGTGACGCTTACAGGCTGTCCCACGCCATGTGACGTTACCCATGAACTGGGGCAGCAGTTTCAAGCACCGGTTTCTCCGTGTCTGTGTTCTGCTTCCCCCCGAGAACGCAAGCCTTTGTTGGCTCCTCTGCCGTCCCCTCAGGACTGCGCAGGCAGCAGCTGGTAACCGGAGACCCACCTGCGCCTGACCACGTTCTACGAGTCTTTGTTGCTAATGTGCAGTTTTTGCCTCATCAGCAGCATCAGCGGCTGCTGCCGTTTGAAGACTATCCGAGCGCTTCAGAGCTACCGAGGCAGGTGGCCTTTGATCGTAGTTCTTGAGCTATTATGGTTCTGTAAAGGGCCAATCCCAGTGAGGGCCTGGGCGTTCAGAGGGGCCTGGGATAGTCGAGACTTGAGCTGTATTTTGAAGGTTGAACTTTGAATGCTGCGGAGTTGGGCCTCACGGAGGTCTGTTGTGAGCTGCGCAGGGGTACAGCGAGGGTTTCAGGAACAGAAAGTGGCGGGGAGTGAGAAAGGAAGGCTGGAACGCAGATGTGTGCAGTGGTCAGGGCTGGGCGTGGTGGCTGGGAGGAGACCACACAGTTTGGTTTGAACTTCAGCTACACTATGTGTGTCTTGAGCTGTGAGAGGCTGGCTGGCGTTCTCAGTCCCTGCAGGCCTCGGCTTCTTCACGTTTGAGGTGGAAATAAAGATGGCTGTGCCTTATACGAACTGAATGACTCAATGAATGGAAAGCACAGAGTGAAAATTAAGTGTATCTGCTGTAAATATGGACGGTGAGGTTTTTCAGCTGACCAGCCATTTTGCCTTGGTTCCTCTGAGTTCTGAATTGTGCAGCTACGTTATTTTCTTATGGTAAATACTTGGGATCCTTACCAAAAATTACCTGCTTTTATAAAAAAGAAACTATTAAATCCGCTCTGCCATCCCCGGTGGGCTGTGGTGTGTGAGGATAAGTTGTGGGAAACTTGTTTAACCAGGCAGAGATGTGTTACACTTGTTCGTGCTGCGTTTGTTAACTAAAGATGCGCTATATTTGCATTAGTTAAATAAAATTAACCTGGGCTCAGAGAGGCTGGAGTAGCCACTGGCTGACAGGAAGAGCCAGGGAGGAGCCTAGTGTAGGGTTTTTTTTTGGGTTGGGGGCAGTGTGGAAGGGAGTGTTCCCGGGAAGCCAGCAGAGAGAAACTTACCCAGTTGTTATTCTGACTCTCTGAGCTTGCAGGTTTTCACCCTAGCCTTTGAATCTCAAGTTTTATTAGAATGATAGAGATTTAGTTAGAAATACCTTTAGTGGCAGCAACAGAGCCAACCCGTCTGGGGGAGCAGAATCCCTCAGGTTGCGGCCTTAGTGGCTGACTGCTGGTAGAGTAAAGCCCAGCCCCCGTGAAGAGGGTCAGACGCCACTAACTAGTGTTTGCAACAGATGAGAGCCACTGTCACCCAGCTGAGGTTGGCTGTCTGGCTTGAAGCAGTTCTCTGGCTGGCATTCCAGTTGTAGGTTTTTGTGTGTGTGTGTTTTGGTTTTTTTTTCCCCTGTTGGCTGATTAGCCATGTTTCTCTTTTCTTGATTGTGTGCTGCCTGCTCCTAATCATCTTTAATGGTTCGTTAGCTACGCTGATGACTTTCGCTTTGTCTAGTAATGAGTCCTGCCAGGATTGCATCAGCCCACTTGAACATGACTAATTGCACCATGTCTTGTTGCGGTACCCGTATAAGATCCCAGGATCCTTTTGGGGCTTCTCTGAATCTCCATCCTGTAGTTGGCTGTGTTGAGGCATCTGCTGTGTTTAATATTTGGGAATGGGAAGATACTCTTTTCTTCTCTTTCCCTATTCAGAATTTCTTACTTGTCTGATATCATCTAACTGGATTAATAGGGACCTCAAATTCTGTTAAATGTATATTCTTTACAACCTTGCACTACACAGGCCAGGGAATTATGAACAAGATGTACAGATGTTTGAGAAACTTTGTTTTCAGAATTGCTTGTCATAATATTTCTTTCTTTCATAGTGGTTGGGATTGGAAGAGGAACAAAAATGCTGACCAGTATGTTGTCGGGATCCAAGGTAAGTCTGTCAGAATGGTTTTCTTCTTCCGTGTTACTTTTCTATTGCCGTGACAAGCCACCGTGACCAAGGCGACCTATAAAGACTCTGATTGGGCTTACAGTCCCGAAAGGTTAGCTTCTAGCAGGGAAGCAAAGACCCGGAGACAGGCAGTTGGGGCAGCAGCCTAGAGCTCACATCTCCAACCATAAGCAGGACCCAAGGAGCACACTGGGAATGGCAGGAGGCTGTGGAAACCTCAAAGCCCACCCCCAGTGACACACCTCCCACAACAAGACCACAGCTCCTGATTTCTCCTCAACAGTTCACAAACTGAGGACCAAGTGGTCAGGCACACGGGGCACTCTCACTCAGACACCACATCGACCTACGCATCGAATTTCATTAATAAAAACAAACAAGAAAAGCCGGAGGACTGAGAGATACCTTAGAGTGTCTGTTGCTTTTCTAGAGGACCTAGGTTCAGCTCCTAGCATCCATACGATGGTCACAACCAGCCGTAACTCCAGCTCCTGGGAATTTGGCACCCTCTTCTGGCCTTTGAGGGCAACTGGTACTCACGTAATGCTCATACATAACATGCAGATGAGCCATTCATACACATTCAAAAATATCTAAAATCCCTCAACCACAGTTTAAAAAATCGCCACATAGGGTGATACAGGAGTATAATTCCAGGACTTGGATGCTGACAGAGAAGTATTGTTGCAAGTTCAAAGCCAGTCTGAACTACACAAGAGAACTCTGTCTCAAAAACTTAAACAAACAAACAAACAAATAAATAGTAGAAATTGCATGGGTAAGTGTGTTTCCTATTCATTATAATGCCATAAATACAAGGCTATGAATTGAACAGTTAGACCAAAAATATTTTAAATACTTTATATTTAGATTTCTTAATGATGAAATGACATTATTGATTATAAATTGTAGTGGAAGATTGTGTGTGTGTGTGTCTTTGTACAGACATTCATGCTAGTGCTACTGTGCCTGGCTCTTCATGGGTTTTGGGGATTTTCAACATAGTGTTTGCTTGGCAAAGGCTCTACTCACTGAGCTATTATCTCCAGACCTTTTTTTTTAGCCTTGGGATTTTTATCCAGTCATTGTAAAGTGAAGACACAGGGTTACTCAGAGAATGCTCAGTAGTACACTTAGTAGTGCAAGCATGAAAGCTTGGTTCAGATCTTCAGCACCCAATATAAAATGCCAGTATGGGGACATGTACCTGTAACCACATTGTTGAGAGGCAGAGACAGTGGATCCAGGAGCTCTCTGGCTACCCAGTGTAGGAAGAACGGTAATTTGTGCACGCCACAGTAGGACCCTTTTAAGATGATGAATTATACTGCTTGTCCGTGGACGTAGCCTCGACTAAATCCACGTGTACTTTTCTAGGTACTTGGGAGGAGAAAAAGGAGGTTGGGAACTATGGAGGGGGGGGGCGTTCACTTGTGTTCAGCGTGGTAGAAGGAATACTGAAGAAAAAGGATGTCAAAGCTGTCAGCCTCCATAGGCTACCCCCCCACCCCATGTATGTACATACAACCCCCACACACAGGCAAAAGGGTTGAAATGTGAGTCATTGCCTGCTAGATTTATACATTGTCTTTAGGATTGTCATGCAGTTTTCATTCTGTTTTGGATACAAGTTTTTGCCAGTTGTTTTAATTGTTTCTTAACTACAAAATGTAAGTGATGACTATTTAGTAGGGAATAAGGGTTATATTTATTTTTTACACTGTTTGGTGTCTTTAAAATTTTTTACAATAAACAAACCAGTTTTATGTCAGTAACAGAAAGACATGCTTACGTTAATAACTTGTTCAGGCTCCTCCCTTCCCCAAGATAAAATTGGTTGAGGTCACTGAACTATGTGCTGTTCAACCCTCTCTACAAAGTCGTAAGCACACGCAGTGCTCTGTGTTACTGAGAGTTCACTTGTAAATCCTAGGCATATTTTCAGAAAAGTGATGACTGAAGATGTAAACACATCTGGCTCAGGTTTTATTTGGTAGAAACCGTTTTGGTGTTCAGCTACGAAAGCTGAATGTCACACAGAAATCAGGGATCCTCAGACGACTGTAACGGAAATAGAACACCCAGGTGCATCTCGTCACAGAAACCTAACTCCGTTTCACAGAATTTTGGATCAGGCTTCGATGTTTGCTTTTCTCACACTTGTGATTTTATGTTACACATTTGTTAAAAAGATTAAGTCGTTTTGTTTTGACTTGGGTGTTGAAGATTGCATTTTTGCTAGAAATAATTAGTAGCTATTAATAGATAATGTTCTGGTAGACTACTTTGTATGTTGCTGTGATAAAATGTATAACAAAAGTAACTGAGGGGTCTCTTTGAGCTCACAGCTCCTGGGTTCAGTCCATTGTGGTGGTCAGAGCAGTGGCTCCTGCCTCACTAGGTGAGGAAGCAGAGAGAGAATTCTGACACCTCGCTGGTCTCCTCCCTTTCACTCGGGCTGGGACTGCAGCCCATGCAACGGCACAGCCACGGTTAGGGTGAATCTTCCTTCACCACTTACCCTAGTCTACACAGCTCCTTACTCATGGGATGAAATATTTGCTGGCAATGTGTTTCTGGATCCCATCAAGTTGAAGGTAGAGGTTGGCTACCATATAGACCATAGTAAATTCATTTTACGTGAGCTATATACACAGACATCTATAAAAGCAAACATTTTCATCAAACAACTTCAATCCTATATACAGTGTATCTCTGTTTGTTTAAAAAGGGGTCTCATGTGGCCAAGACTGGCCTTGAACTCCTGATCCTCCTGCCAGTACCCTTAAGTGCTGGGATTGGGTGTTGTACCACTATGCGACTATGGTATGGTTCTCTGTCCCACTACGCCCCAGTCTCTGGTGTAGTTTTGACATTTTCTTTCTAGCTCGTCTTAAAAGATGCCGGTGACTAAAGCCTCCACTTGATCCGGACTTAATGGCTGAGCTGATGTTCACTGCTTCTCTGCCCCCTAAATATGCAGATGGCTTTTCATTTGTGTCATACACTGCTTGAAACATCACGCCTGTGTGTGAGGCAGAGCTGCTGCCTGTCATTCCAGGGTGGCAGGTGCTCAGTCTATGATACACCCGTATTGTGAACTCTCTCCTCAAGGCAGGCCTGACTGGGGGCATTGCTAGCCTAACATGGCCGAACATCTTCCTGCAGTCAAGAAACATGGTTAGAAATTGTTTCTTCTCAGTACTATGTTATGTAGTTACTCTTCATTAACAGGAAGAGTGCTGGATTTTATTTTTTATCTTATTGCTTTGTTTGTTTGCTAGAGGTAGAGTCTCCCTGTGTAGCCTGGGGCTGTCCTGGAACTCACAGTATAGATCAGGCTGTCCTGGAACTCACTGTATAGACCAGGCTGGCCTGGAACTTACTGCTTCCTAGGTGCTTGAATTAAAGGCTTTTATCACCACTGGGCTCGTACATAAAATCTTCAGGACATTTGCTGTTGCTAATGTCTCTGAAGATGGAGCCTGTTTGGACATCCAAATCTTTCCCTGCGATCTCTTATTCAGGTCAGGGTGTTAGAGCCAGGAGGCCTACCCTGTTCTCTTGGGCCTACTGTGGCCTTGCTCTGCTTGTGTCTGTTGCGCTTGTGTCTTGTGTGTTTTCACTGCTCTTTTGGGTTATGTGTGTCATGTGTGAGAGGCATCTAGGATTTCCTTACATTTCCTCAGCACACAAAGTGCTCAGTAAGTGTGTTATTGCTATTCCTGAGAGCTTCAGGTATCATCAAGTCTCTTCTCTTCTGAATTCCAGGCCCGTCAGATTGCTCTAACTACATGTTCCATGTACACCTGAAGTCAATTTCATCCAAACGAGTTCTTGGCTACAGCTAATTTTTTCTTCTTTTTAAAATCCCTGTAGTTTCTTGAACTATAGAGAAAATAGCACTCATCAGAAAGAAAAAGCTTCTTTTTTTTTTTTAAAAGATGAGGCAATTTCTCTAGACAGAAATTCCAAACATTAAAGGATTTGGGGTGTAGATCGATGTGGTTCTCAAAAGAGTTTACAAGCCAGGTGCGGTGGCACACACTTAGTCCCAGTGTTCTCTTCAGGAGGCAGAGATGGTGGATCTAAAGCCAGTATGGTCTACATAGGAAGTGCCGGGCCAGCCAGAGCTGCGCAGTGAGACCCTATCCCAGAAAGAAAAAAAAAGTGTGGAATCCATGTAGAAATGGGACTTCATAAGATATGATTTAGACAAAATTCTCCTGGGCGAGTGGACTAATGTCTGGTGTGTATAGGAAGGTGGTGCCTCCCTCTCTCCCCTAAATTAACGCTGCGAACCGGTTAACTCAGCAAAGGCTGGGGAGCCCGTGCACTCTGAAGTCCCAGGCTTTGATGAGGTGCTGGGGAGCTGCCTTCTCAAGCTGTCTGTCTGAGGATTACAGTTGCTACTTTCAGATGTCTTAGAGACTGGAGCACATGAGAGAGTGGCCTGTTGTGAAAACGTGAATCTGATTGTCACCGTACAGACATGAGGTTACCCCACATCTATAAGGAGGTAGACCACAGTGGTCTCTCAGGCAAAGCTGGCAAATGTCACAGCAGAACATGTGTGGTTGGGTCCACAGCTTCCCGCCCCGGATGTGGTCAGGGGGCAGAAGTTGCTCTAAGAACGTCAGCATCTTAGGGTCACCAGCCATGATTCGACTGTGAAATTCAGCCAGGTGTTTAGGATTCAGCATTCTGTCAGTTGCGGGATATTTGTACGCTGTGTGAAAATATATTTGCTATGTTTGGTTTAATGAAGAGCTGAATAGCCAATAGCTAGACAGGAAGAGGCTAGGTACAACTTTCAGAGACAGAGAGGACTCCGGGGAGAAGGAAGGCAGAGACACCAGGAGACAGGAAGAGGAAACGGAAAGTGCAAGATAAAAGAGAGGTAAAAGCCACGTGGTAGAATTTAGGTTGATAAAAATATGGGTTAATGTAAGTTATAAGAGCTAGTGGGACAAGCCTAA